AACGGGAGAAGCCCAGCGCTGAATCTTACAGTGTTACACTGTTAAGAAATGTAGCGTATAGATATAATTTTCAGTTTGTGCTACATGTCCAAAGTCCCTTTGATAGGGGCCACAATCCTGAGAGGGTGCGAGACCTGTGCGGACAGTGGAGCAAGCTGTACGATTATATCTTAGAGTCGGGTTGCTTGAAAGTGCAGCCTAAAGTGGGTGATAAACTTCATCTAAGGCTAAATATAGACGCGAATTCGATAGCAAACAAGTACTGTGAAGGAAAGTTGCAAAGAACTTTGAAGAGAGAGTTCAAGAGAACGTGAAATCGCTGGAGTGGAACCGGAGAGAGTTGACGTAACCGGGTAACTAAGTTTCCTAATGTCGCTTAATTGTGACTGCAGGTGATGTATGTTGCCTATGGTTGCGCTGACAGCATTGGCTGTGCGTTCTGACCCGTTTGTGTTGCCCACTTCGGTGGTGTCTTACTTCCGTATAACTGTTAAAGGGTGCCTTTGGTAGCTGACGGGTCTTACTACGGTTAAGGTTGTCATGAGCTAATGTTATCCTGCTTGCAGCTCCTAATTGCAAAAGGGTCCCGAATTGTCAGTGCTGAAGTCGACCACCTCTCGACCCGTCTTGAAACACGGATGTCCATGTAGTGATGTTGTTAACTTGTTATCGGACGAGTCAAAGTAGTAAGACGGTGTATAACCACAAATAGGGCGTTAATAAAGTATAAGGTCTGGGCGGTTAACCGGCTGACATGGGATCTACTTTTCGAAGTAGCGCACCATGGCCCTGTCTTGTCTGCATGCAGATGGGCAGCGGTAGAGCGTACAGGTTGCGACCCGAAAGATGGTGAACTATGCCTGAGCAGGACGAAGTCAGAGGAAACTCTGATGGAAGTCCGTATCGGTTCTGACGTGCAAATCGATCGATAGACTTGGGTATAGGGGCGAAAGACTAATCGAACCATCTAGTAGCTGGTTCCCTCCGAAGTTTCCCCCAGGATAGCTGGAGTTCATCGCGGTTATATCCGGTAAAGCGAATGATTAGAGGACTTGGGGTCGAAACGACCTCAACCTATTCTCAAACTTTCAATGGGTATGTTGTCTCGGTTTCTTTATTGAACTGTTGACACGAACGCGAGCTCCAAGTGGGCCATTTTTGGTAAGCAGAACTGGCGCTGTGGGATGAACCAAACGTTGGGTTAAGGTGCCTAACTTCTCGCTCATGAGACCCCATAAAAGGCGTTGGTTGATATAGACAGCAGGACGGTGGCCATGGAAGTCGGTACCCGCTAAGGAGTGTGTAACAACTCACCTGCCGAATCAACTAGCCCTGAAAATGGATGGCGCTTGAGCGAGAGACCTATACCCAGCCGTTGCTGGCTTGTGCGTTGTCTATCGCCTGGCCGCAACGAGTAGGAGGGACGTGGCGGTTGCGTCGAAGGCTTTGGGCGTGAGCCCAGCTGGAGCTTCCGTCAGTGCAGATCTCGGTGGTAGTAGCAAATATTTAAGTTCGATCCTTGAAGACTGAAGTGGAGAAGGGTTCCACGTGAACAGTAGTTGAATGTGGGTCAGTCGATCCTAAGATACTGGCTTATGCCTTGTATCATTGAGAGGGAAAAGTTTCTTTTCTCTCGGATATCAAAAGGGAATAGGGTTAATATTCCCTAACGCAGACACAGAGATTGTGACTCATTGAGTCACTTGCGCGGTAACGCATTCGAACTTGGTTACGTCGCTCAGAGACCGAGCTAGAGTTCTCTTCTCTAGTTAAGGAACGGACTCCCTGGAATCGGTTCAGCCGTAGATAGGGACGTTGTTTCCGTAAAGCATCGCGGTTTCTGTGATGTCTCGTGTTCTCTGGACGGCCCTTGAAAAACCAAGGAAGGCTATTAATCTGTGCTGCATCGTACCGATATCCGCATCAGGTCTCCAAGGTGAACAGCCTCTAGTCGATAGAATAATGTAGGTAAGGGAAGTCGGCAAATTAGATCCGTAACTTCGGGAAAAGGATTGGCTCCAGTGACTGGGTCGGTTGGCCTGTTAACTGATGCTTGTGCGGTTTCGTCCGTGGCTGGCTGATGCTTACGCTGATGCTGGACTAGTGACAAGACTGCCTTGTGGACGTTTTCAGGTGTGTGCTTTGTCTTCGGGCTTAGTATCCTGACCGACCATCAAAACAGCGTCCATATAGAAAAAAATAAAAGTGGGCGGGATTTGCGCTGCAGTAGGCGGGGCTAGAATTTTGAATAAAAAACAATAGTTGAAAGTTGGTGATGAATGGCGACATACCGATATGTCGAAAAAACACAAAAATCTGTAAAAATACAAAAAGGGGCGGAGTTTGCGCAGTGGGCGGAGTTTGCGTGGTGGGCGGAGTTTGTACGTATATATGTCGGTATGTGTGATGTAGTGTACGAGTTAGAAATCTTGACAGCAACTGGATGTCGAGATATAAAAACTTGTCAAAAACTCAAAAGTGGGCGGAGCTTGCGCGGTGGGCGGAGCATATATGTATGTGTGTATGTAGTGTGTACATGTGTACGAGTTACAAATTTGGGTAATGGCTGATGTCGAGATATAACCACTTTTTTATAACTCAAAAGTGGGCGGAGCGTGCGTGGTGGGCGGAGCATATACGACAGTCCGTGTGTAGTGTGTACATGTGTACGAGTTACAAGTCTGGAAACCGCCTGGATGTCGAGATATAACCACTTTTTTATAACTCAAAAGTGGGCGGAGCGTGCGCGGTGGGCGGAGCATATACGATAGTACGTGTGTAGTGTGTATGTGTGTACGAGTTACAAGTCGGGAAAGCGCCTGGATGTCGAGATATGACGACTTTTTTGAAACACAAAAGTGGGCGGGGTTTGCGCAGTGGGCGGAGCTTGTATGTTGTGTATATGGTGTGTATGTGTGTATGTATGAATTACAAGCCTCGACATCAAATGGATGTGATTTTCGAAAAAAGGCCACTAACCACGCTCGACGTTGCCTAACTTGCCAGATCGGACGCGCAGGGTACCTTAAACTTGGGTAACTGAATCAGTGACCCAGTACTGCAAAATTCTGCTGAAGTACTAACCACGCTCGGCGTGGTCCCAGCTGCCAGATCGGACAACTGGCCACGCTCGGCGTGGCCTCAGCTGCCAGATCGGACGTGGTTCGGGTTCTTGCGCACGGCCTGAGGCAGCTTCTGCTGATTCAATTACCCAAGTTTAAGGTAACTGAAGCAGCATAATGCCGTCACAAAAGGTGGGCGGAGCTATACGGCAGCGCGTGTGTAGTGTGTATATG